CCAAAGCAACTTGATAGGATGAATTATGGAGAGAAAGGATTAAATATGATTTATTAATATATTATGAGAATAATATATTAAAGGAGAAATCATATTGTTTAATTAATATTAGTCAAGAATTAATTGGTAATTAGTTTTGTGACTAAAAGAGATTAATTAAACTTAAGGGATTGGAATTGTAATTATAAGATAATTGCAATTTGGGCTATGGATTGTCTTCTATTAAGGAGTGGACGAATTCTATGGGGAAACCCATCAGAAATCGTCCAAGGCCTTAAGGAAAGGAGTCCATGGGTTGCTTAGGCTTAAGCATCCAAATTAGGGTTTCCTTGTTAGATAACCCTAATAGCCTAACTATATATACATCCCTTATGACCCAAAAACGTGGACAACCATCCTTCTATGGTTTCATACGTTTTTGGGCAGCCTCCATCCTCTCTCCTCTTCATCCTCTTGCTCTTGGTGTTTGTGAACCATTAGAGGAGTGACATTTGTGACTCTAAGCTTTCTAAAGTCGATACAAGGAGGAATTTAGATTGTTATTGCTACATAACAATCAAGGTATGATCTTAAACCCATTCTTATGTTAATATGATTACTTGTATGCTAGAATTAGGGTTTATAGTCTTGGGTAACTTGCATGTACAATAGAGAAACCTAGATCCAAGCATTAGGGTTTGTATGAGCACATACGATGTTCTTATGACTAAAACCCATTATTTTTAATCCCAATGTATTTATAGTATGTATATCTTTTATGGGTTGATATACTTAATTCACTATAAACAATGCCTTGATACCAATCTGTCACACCCCAAAACCAAGAACGGCGGAAACGTTCTGGGGTGGAGGATGTCATGTACAGTATCACAACAATGAAAAGTAGTAAACAAGCAACAACATCATCCATTGCATTAATAATACAATTTTAATACAAGTGTTCTATCAAATTATAATAGACACTAAAGTATAAACAAATGAAAGATGAGTCTTGAACGAGCTTCATCTTCTCTAAACCTTACATCGGTACCTGTCTACTGTCGACCTGAGAATACAAGTTATTTTGAAAGAGTTTATCAATATTAAGTTGGCGAGTACACAAGTATTTTAGTGTCGGTGTTTGTATCAAAATGTTTGAATGTGGTTTTAAGCATGAGTTTGTAAACATTGGTGGTAAAAGTATGCAAATGTTTCTAAGTGATTGTAAAAGTTTGAATCTCTCAGAAAAACCTATATTTTCTATTAAACGTAGCCTTCTACCAAGGCGTAACTGTTTTGTATGTTCGTTTATCGTAAAAGTGTGTAATTTTCCCAAGTGTAACTATCATTAACAAAATATAGTTTGTACATTATTATTTAAGTGAAAAGATCACTAAATATGTAAAAGGGTAAATTAATGTAGTACTGTAGTGTTGTATTATAGGAACTACTGCTGTACTAACTACCTTAAACCGGATTTATATTAAGGTATCATGTGATTAATTGTACCATACTATCGACTAGGTAACAACGACAAATGTAGGTCGTAAAAAGGTATGACGTTTGGCACCCGCAGACCTGCAGGTCCGGCTGTAGCTAGCAGCAAGGTGTAGGATAGTCAATCCAGTATAGATCTATACGCAAACTCATGATCTCCCTCCAAGAGACTTTGGCTACAACTCGGGCCATGACATTAAAGGCATGCTCCAATACAGTGGATCACAATCTTTTTAACGTATTCATGTATATGTAATGTATTGTTACTCGTTCTAGTATCGTTATATATGTTCTCTTTCTAGATGTATCTATGTAAATGTAATCATGTAAACATATCTATGTAATAGTATAGTAATGTACTATAATGTTCTACGTGTGCTTGTTGTAATGTGTATTCTCTCTCTATCTAGCATGTATAGTAATGTACTGTGTGTACTAGCTGTAATGTATGTTCTCTCTATCTGGCAAGTATTGACTCATGAATGAACTGACTCATTGTATGATATTGCGTTCTAGTAATAGTTCTAGTATCTTCCTAAACTACCCATATAGTAGCTTACTAGTAATTTAACTGGTACGTATGAACATGGATGTATACCCTTGCTACCCAAGGGCATTGGATGAACTGGAAGGACCTTTATGACTATATATGTACATATGATATATAACTAATATTTCAAAAACCTTCGGACGGATACCCGATGTCCCACCAGGCCACATCTCAAGCGCGAAAAGGAAATAGGGTGGCTAGCCTTCCTAAGTCTTTTAAACATTTCTTATATAACTATACATATATAGGCATGTAATTGATAAAATAAAAGCATAAAATAAGTTTTATTATCTAAGAAAAGATCGACTTGATGTTAATCTATAAAAAGTTTTGAAAGCATAGGTTTGATAAAACAGCTTAAGTATAAGGAAACATTTGTTTGAAATACAATTGTACATGAGTTTGAAATGAAACATACATGGTAAAATGTACAGTTTAATAAGGAGTTTTAAACATATAAAGTGTTTATGGACAACATTTGAAGGAAACTGTTTGGTAAAACGGCTAATGAGTAGTAAATCATTTGAATGCTGCTTATTAATCACATGTGATTGATATAATAAGTAGCATGATTCTACTTGTATCCCCCCCCATAAAGTATTTAAAAACATTTAAAAAATTTATTAAGGGGTATGAACTCACCTGTGGTGAGTGGATTGGATTGAAGTGTCGGGTACGGTGCTAGGTGACAAATGAAGACTTGTACACACGCACGAGCCTAGTTATCATATAATGAACATATATATAACTAATTAGCCAATTTATAACTAATAAATTAAGTTGGGACACTCTAGAACATGAAAACACTTTGTTTCAAGTGTTAAAGATCACAAGGATTGCATCCAAGTGGTGGTAGGGCAAAGCTAGGGTGTTTGGAGTTCAAGGGTAAACTCCTTTGGAGTTTACAGTTTTGATGGTCATAACCTAAGGAGTTTACGACAATAAACTTCAGGGTTTACGGTCGTAAACTCTACTCCTATTGATCATGTGTTGTTTTGTGGTTTATCAAGCCTTTTGAAGCATTTCTACAAGGTGGTTTGGCCTTTGGAAGGGACTAGGGCAACAAAAACACTCCTTGGAGGAGTTTACGGCCTCATGGTCATTTCCCTTTGGGTTTACTACCGTAAACCCTTATGGAAAAGGGTATTGCCATGTTTTCAAGTCCTTAACACAACAAGGTAATTTTCTAGGTTGGTTTTTAAGCCTAAGGAAGGATTTTGACCCATTTAAACATACTTTAGGGTGTTTACGGTTTTGGGAGCTCCCCAAATTGTAAGCACATAAAAATGGTGATCTTTGGTGTTTTTCAAGGCTTAAACACATCCTTGAAAGGTTAAACATGTCAAGGTAAGTCTTAAACATCAAACTAGGGCTAAACAAGGGACTTAGGCACACTTTGGTGCCATTTTTGGTGTTTACGGCCCAAGAACCTTCTTGGACTGTGAACACCTCTAACCTTGTGTTCTTGGCATAATTTCTTGATGTTTAAATGTAATACTAGCTTAATAACACTCAAGAATGGAAGTACTTACTATTAGGAGGCTTGATTTGAGTTAAAAGGCCAAGAACACTTAGTGTGTGTTCTTGGTGTTTTTGGAAATCTAGACAAAATACATAAATGAATGGATGAATAGATGTACAAACACTAGATTAAGTGTTTTACTAACTTGAAATGGTTAGAACACTTACAATTTTGAAGATCTAGAACAAAAACTAGGATGATACTTGAAAGGATATTTTTGGAGTTTACTCTTTTGGGATTTTGGGGAGTAAACACTTAATGGCTAGTCTTGGGGAGTAAACTCATACATAGGCATGAGTTCATGGTTTTTGGGATATTTTTCAACCCAAACTTAATAGTTTGGCCGGGAAATTCTAAGACATGAGGTGTTTGCGGTTTTTAAAATCAAAACCCGAGACGGCACTTTCTTTCACCCGTTCGTTTAAAAATAATATTAAAATAATCAAACGAACTTTATTTTTCCCAAAAACAAGTAAAAGTGAACTTAACGTATAATATGAAGTGATTGACTGCTAGGGTTTCACCGAATGAAAATTTCGAGTTGTCACAACCTTCCGGTCCATATCATGATGACCTTCTGGTCCATTCCATGGTACTCATAACATAACATAACACATACATATCACATATCAACATATATCACATACTTTGCATAGCATATAAGACCTTCCGGTCACACATAATTACCACTCTAGGTAAAGTATAGTGAGAAGATTCACCTCGTATGAAGTCGGATAAACTTTCCTTCTTGAATATCCCGACCTAGCCTCCTCCTATCAACAGGATAACATCTCTAATCAAAATCCTCTCATATTCTCATCTCTAATAATGGGTAGAATACCATTCTACCCCTCTCTGACCTCTCTTAAATCAGCTTGACCAAAACCCCAAGGTCAACTGAAGTCAACTCTAGTCAACGGTCAAACTTTGACCAAACTCGACGAGTTAAGGCGCCAACTCTTCGAGTTACTCCTCATAACTTCGAAAATAAATACTCATTTTATCATACGTGGAAATCCGGATGTTACAAATCGCGACACATGTCACCATTAGAAAATAGCCACCTCACAATTCTCACCAGGTGTGCAGCGCAAATATGACCATGTGTGGGCAGCGCGCACCCCTTCCCTGCCTATAAAAACCTTCATTTCAACTCATTTTTCTACACACCCTTCCTCTGATTCTCTCTAGAATACTTTATAGTTTTTAGCCCTTTACTCCCTAGTTCCCGACTATGTTAGCGAGGCCTTGCAACATCGAAGTGACAGTGAGTAGAATCACTCGGGTCAGAGTTTTGTCCGCATAATCCCGTATTCACTAGAAACTCTTTGTAAGTTAGACTACACTTACTATGCGATAAGTGTAACTTGTATTTATATTCATAGTCATTGTTATAAATATGTAAATAAAGATTTGTTAGTAATCCCAATAATAATATTGATTAATCTACTTATGGGAGAGTTGTCTAGAATGGTCATGTTGGCTTGGTTGTTGGATTTCAGAAAAGGTATATGTCGAAATGATCTTGCCCCCCAACTGTCTTACATGGCTGATCCTTATTTGATAGAGCTATCAATATTCATTGGGATTAGTGATAGGTTTAGCCTACCTTACCCGATTTCCCCAGGGACTAATAAGCTCTATTACTATAGGTTAACACCCATTAGACGTGTACTCGCCAATTGGATCACACGGTTAACTGTTAACCATCTGAGAAATTTTCAAGGTGAGTTCTTCTCACTATATTGTATACTCCAATATGTATCATCTATACGTTAGGATATAGTTACCATGTAGTATGCACTTAGGCAATTAGACTATGATAGTTAGTTGCCAGCTATGTGGACTATTTCTATACGTTGATATGTATATATGGAGTTAAGAGCGAACTATTATTGTGCTAAAGAATAATAGACTTGGGGGGACTAGCTTTATGCTAAAGGGTAATGTGAGTGGACAAGCTACGTGCTGAAGGCTATATGTAGGCCGGATCAGCCTTATGTCGAAAGCCAAAGGGTAGACCAACTTTATGTTGAGGGCCATCATGTATATGCATTATATATATGTTATGGTATGGAATATTTTGAAGGAATTCGCTAAGCCTCAGCTTACAGTTGTTGAATAACTATTTTACAGATTGTTCTTCGGATCTAGAAAAAGCTCCGGCATGACTGTACTTGCATTTGTAATAAACCATCAGAAAATAAAATATATAACACATAATCATATTATATTACTATAAAAATGATTAATTCAAAATTAATGAGTAAATTAGAGGAAAATTATGAAGATTAATGGCAAAAACTCTCACCTTCATTGGGTTGGTAAATTCGAGCAAGTGAAAGGGATTCATCAGTTATAAACTTAGGCATCATATATAGCTTGAGAAATCGGGTGAAAACACCACTGGAATTGTAAAAAAAGACGAAGAAGCAAAGTAGAAAGCGGATGTGGAAGTTGTTGAAGATTGTCGTAGTTTTTCTTGAAATCTAGGTATGACCACTCGATTTAAGCTTGATATGATTGCTTAGATAGATGTATATGCATGTTAAACATATTTTGGTTCTACCTACTGTCTCAATTCGATCCAATCACTAACAAATCGACAAAGAGTTATAATGAACGTTTTTTTTTAATAATTTGTTTGATCCACTTGGTTATGGAGCGAAAATTAGATAATTAGTTATGGATTATTTATTGTTAGACAGAAGTGGAGAAAAATAATATTAAGTTTTAGTTTAATATTAATTGCAGGAAAATTAAAACTTCCCAAATGTTTAGTAATGGTAGAAAATGATTTTTTTAGGTAAGGAAGATGACATTTTCGTTCTCATTATTATCAGTATTTCTTTTTCGGTGTTTCACCCTCACTATTTACATTCACTTTTTGCTACAAAGGAAATTTCATATTAATCTTGATTTTTGTTTTTCTTACATATTCAACAATGTTTCACTATCAGTCCCTGTATCTTTTTTGAATTCAACTTAGACCTATTTTGGATAAATAAATTTGGTTAATTCTCATCCGGCATCTACAACGGACGTATAATGTTGATTTATGCTTTGGTAAATAAATTTTTGAACTATTTTATTTCTAGAACGAATTATGTGATTCTACTCTATTTTATTAGAAATAATAATAATAATAATAATAATAATAATAATAATAATCACATTTCCAATAAAGTTATAATGCATAACTTAATTAACGAAATTATATAAATGGTTGGACAAAGGAGACATATAGGGAGGAACCAAAATGATCATATAGTGTGTTTTCTAGGATTGAAACCTTAGAAAATCATACTGGTTAAATGTAGTGTGTAGCGTTACAAGCTTTGGTTAAGACCTAACGTCAACAAGGTGAGTTTCGTGTGAATTTTATGGTTGCTTGCATGAAAAGTTGATTATAATTTATTTGCAATTACGCGTTACCCTTGTTATTACAATGAATATTTATGTGGATTTTATGAACTATTTGATGTAAAAGGGTGAAAAGGGTGGGTGACATATGTATACGGAACAGATGCATTAACTACATAGTCATTACTCGTGGTCATACAAGGTGTCAGTATGCGGCAGAGAGATTACGCTCTGATTAATTTGTTGTAAGTATATTTGTTGTGTCCGATGGAGAGACTTGTTACTTGGAAATGACAGTAGTTCCCTAATAGGTCACCAAGGGTGATAAGAAATGAAAAGAATTATATTTGATATATCATTGCATTGTTTTTATTTTATTGACGTCAATACGCATGAAAATCACGAATTCACTAGGTCATAGGCTTACCAATTAGAATCTTTAAATGTACGTAACCCAGAAAATAAGGTAGCAAGTGGAAGCAGGAAGGGAAAGTATAAAGCTCAGACTTGAAGATGATGACAAGTTTTGAGGACGTAATGTAAAAAGTGTTTATTTAAATTTCTATTTGCTTATGCTATTATTATTAATAATATTAGTATTTGTATTCCGGATATTAGAGGTTTTTGAGACCATGTTAAGATAATATTTGTATCTAAAATTTGGGGCATTTCAAGTTGGTATGGAAGCCATGTTTAAGCAGATTAGTGGTTGTTTAAACACCTAAGCTTAAACCAGAGGAGCGGTACACCGTCTAATCTGGACAACATCTCGTTTGTCGGTACTATGGATCGTGGAAAGACAATCGTCAATGGTGGGTTGTAAGATGAGGGTACGAGTGGGTTACTTCCTGACGAGAAGTTGGAGGCCGAGTTAGAGGTTTCTGATTCGGAATTCAGTCTCGAACCAACAAATCCACTCAACCTCTATGAGCGAGATGAAGATGAGAACTCTGAGGAGGAACCTAACGAAGATCCAGAGGAGGAACCCGACGAAGACCCTGATGAGGAACTCGAAGAAGACCCCGAGGAGGAACCTGAGGGAAACCACGTGGAGTACCATGTGAAACGATGATACGGAACGTCTAATATTCTCCATGTGGAGTATACGCAAACAAGTCGTGGTTTCTATTGGGAGCAACTTTATAAAGAAGAAACTCCCCATGCACATCGCGAGATTCACAAACTGAAAAGGAATATTGAAGAGATAGATGAGCATAGGTCAAGGCTCGTACACGAGAACCAAATACGGGTTGAGGCTACTGAGGAAAGTAAGCGCAAGATACAAAGGTTAGAAAAGGAAGTGATGGAGCTAAGGAAACCCACTATCACTAAGTTGTGGGAAGGATTTGTGGTCTGGGTAACGCAAGTCAATGTCGCGACATATGGGTTCCTAGATAGGGTGGTTAGAAGGGACCTACCTCGAGCCGAGGATCTAGTTATCCAAAGTGGTCCTGGAGATCGAAAAGCCAAGAATATAAGGAAGTACTTGAAGGAGGGAAAATGAATCTTGAAATATGATGACGTTGTGTTTAAAAAGTAAAAAGAGGGAGGTGGATAAGTTTTTTCTCTTGGTTGTTGGCTTAAGTTATTTGATGTGAACAAGACATATGTCTCTTTTTGAAATTTTAATAATTTGGAATAAAATTTATGTTTGTTTTACTTATTGTGTTATAAACATAAATATGTAGTTAATATGTCTTCACGAAGATCTATGAGGTTCACTAGGGTCACCTCGGAGGAAGAATGCATCCCAATTGGAGCTTATGTCAGAGTAACAGAAGATGTACTAGATACCCCATTGATCCTAAATGTTATTCGTGGACAGGGAAAATGAAGAGGAAGAGGCAGGGGTATAGGAAGAGGCCGAGAGCTGTTATAGCATCGATGCCTGCACCATCAGCCCATGATAGCTCTAGATCCCACCGTGGTCGAGGTCGAGGTCGCGGAAGGGGTTGTGCAACAAACATGATCACTAAAGAAGAGTTGGCTAACGAGATTTCTCGGTCAATTCGAGCCACCTTGCAGGACTTAGTTGCTCAGGAACGAGAAGATATAATGGGTGATTATGAAGGTAACTTGGGTGGAGTTGAAGAAGGCTTCGAGTATAGTACACCAAATAGAAATCATGACCCAAGTATTGCACAACCATCAAGGCATCATGACAACCATGAACGGTGGGGTTGTAGTTACAAGACATTCATAAACTGTATGACACCTGTATTTAATGGAGAAATTGATCCCGTTTTATCATCAATATGGATCATGGAGATTGAGGGAACATTTGATACTAGCAAGTGTACGAATGAGTACAAGGTGATTTATGTTGTGACAATGTTAAAGGGGAGGCAATACATTGTTGGGGCATGATGAAGGAAGTTAGGGACATGAGGCGGCCAAGAAGATGTCATGGGATGAATTTATAAGAATCTTTAAAGAAAAGTTTTTCCCTCGAACAACGGTTAAAAAATTAGAGGAAGACTTCTTGAGGTTGGAACAAGGGAATATGGTTGTGAGAGAGTACACCACTAAGTTAACAGAGAAAGCTAGGTTTGCCGAATTTTTACGTATCTAAAGAAGAAAGAAGGATGGAACGCTATATTTGGGGATTGAGAACAGCTATCCATGAATTTGTGAAAATTCAGAAAACATGTAGTTTCCAGTCTGTTGTAGATGTTGCAGAGGGTCGCGAACGTGAGAAGAATCGTCAAGGTGAAGACAGGGCTTTAGGGAAAAGAAAATGGGTTGGTACGAATTATGATTCCAAGAAAAGCAAGACTTCAGGTCAAGAACTTAAGGTTGATCAAGGGTTTGGAGTAAAGCAATGTCTAAAATGAAACCGTTATGATAAGGGGGAGTGTAACATGAATCAGAAAGTTTGCTACAAGTATGGAAAATTAGGGCACATTGCCACAGAATGTAAGACAAGAAGCGTATGTTATGGGTGTGGTTCCTCCAACCACATCAAGTCGAAATATCCCCAGAGTAAAGGTAGAAACAATCAAGGAAGATAACAGAAAATGGGTCGGCAGATAAAAAGGCTGACACTAGCAGACAAAAAGCTACAACTCTTCGGATGACAGCTCAGGAAGCTCAGGAGACCCCGGATGTGGTAACAGGTACTTTCCTAGTAAAATCAATACATGCTAGGGTATTATTTGATTCTAGTGAAAATGGATCATTTCTGTCTACTACTTTTTGCAAATGCCTGGGTAGAAATGCAAAGACTCTAAAATATGCTTTAGAAATTGAAACTACTGACGATCATTGGTTAGTAGTCTGGAAGAAATATGATGATTGCTTTATCGAAATAGAAGGTTTCACGGTACCGTTAAAATTGTTACCTATAGCCCTAGGTGATTTTGATGTTGTTATAAGGATGGATTGGTTGTTGGCAAACCAAGCGATCATAGATTGTGATAAAAGGATTGTTTAAGTTTGGGTGCCAACAAAAGGAACAATAAAGATCTATGGTGACTGGCAAGTTAAGGACTCTATTTTTTATATCAGTTGCGAAGGCAACTCATTTCTAAAGAAAGGGTGTCAAAGTTATTGGGCATTTGTTCACGATGCTAAGAAGGAAAAGCCTGAAATGGCACATATACCAGTTATATGTGAGTTCCGAGATGTATTCCCTGATGACCTAACTAGCTTGTCACCAGATAGGCAAGTAGAGTTTCGAATCAATCTTACCCCATGAGTAGCACCAATAACTCGTGCGCCTTATCGGTTAGCGCCAACAAAAATGAAGGAGTTCATGTATCAGTTGCAAGATCTGCTTGAAAAGAGTTTCATTCGACCCAGTACCTCACCGTGGGGTGTTCCAGTACCGTTTGTTATGAATAAGGATGGAACGATGCGAATGTACATTAAGTATAGGGAGTTAAACAAAGTTACTATAAAGAATCGAAATCCGTTACCAAGAATTGATGACCTTTTTATCAACTTTTAGGGGGGTTATTTTTCAAAGATCGATTTGCGGTCTGGGTATCACCAACTGAATGTCAGGGAAGAAGATGTGTCAAAGACAGCCTTTCAAACTAGGTATGGTCATTACGAATTCCTAGTAATTCCATTTGGTTGATCAATGCACCAGCTGTATTTATGGATTTGATGAATCAGATGTGCAAGCCATACTTAGACAAGTTGGTAATTGTATTCATTGATGACATCTTGATATACTCTAAAAGTAAAGTGGAATATGAGCAACACCTACGACTAACAATTAGCTTATTAAGGAATGAAGAATTCTTTGCCAAATTTTCGAAGTGTGAGTTTTGGCTTCGGGAAGTCCAGTTTTTGGGACATGTTGTAAACGAACATGGTAGACCCAACAAAGATTGAGGTGATTAAAAGTGGGAGCCACCAAGAACACCATCAGAAGTTTGAAGTTTTCTTGGCATGGCAGGATACTATCAATGGTTTATAGAAGACTTCTCGAGGATAGTTGCACTGCTAACTACCCTGACAAGGAAAAATGTAAAGTTTAAATGGAATCCAGAACAATATGATGCCTTTAACATCTTAAAGAAAAATATTAGCAATGCACCAGTATTATCATTACCAGAAGGCAATGATGGCTTTGTCATTTATACTGATGCATCCAATTTAGGCTTGGGGTGTGTTTTGATGTAAAAGGGTAAGGTGATTGCTTATGCCTCATGACAGTTGAAGGTTCACGAGCGTAAATACCCGAAACATGATATGGAGTTGGCTGCATTAGTGTTCGCTTTAAATATTTGGAGACATTATTTGTATGGAACAAGGTGTCACATCTTCACTGATCACAAGAGTCTTAAATACTTGTTTGATCAGAAACATTTAAACATGAGACAGGAACGGTCATGATTGTGAGATATTGTACCATCCAGGGAAGGCAAATGCTGTAGCTATTGCACTAAGTCGCAAGAAAAGAGGGGAACCACCTAAGACTCAGATGTTGAAGATTAATTTAACAACCATCGTACTAGATGATTTGAGAAAGAGTCGGGAGGAGGCATCGAAGGAAGAGACGTGGAAAAATTAGAGAGTGGTAGGAGTAATACAATCCTTGGGAAAGGATAGTCGTGGCTTGAGGTGCTTCTAGGGAAGGGTTTGGGTACCACAAGTGGGTGATGTGCGTAAATTACTTCTCAAGGAGGTGCACATGTCGAAGTACTCAATCCATCCATGAACAAACAAGATGTATGAAGACTTATGCAAATCTTACTGGTGGCCAGGGTTGAAAAAGGATGTAACCTATTTTGTTGAAAGGGGTTTGACGTGCTTAAAGATGAAAGTTGAGCACCAAAGGCCTTCCGGTCAGCTACAGTTAATGGAGATTCCAATGTGGATATAGGATCACATCACAATAGACTCTATGCCTAAGTTACTAAGGACACCGGAAGGTTATGACGCAATTTGAGTAGCTGTGGATAGATTAACCAAATCGTTGCACTTCCTTCTGATTAAGGAGACGTACCTGTTGAAAAGTTTAGTTAAGTTGTATGTTGACAAGATAGTGAAACTACAAGGAGTTCCATTGTCTATTGTTTCAGATCGAGATAGTCGATTTACATCGACGTTTTTGGGTGGCTTCCAACGAGAAATGGGCACTCGAGTAAAATTAAGCACAACATACCTTCTGCAAATAGATGGGCAAAGTGAACGGATGTCACACACCCGGCCACCGGTGGAAATGCCAAGGTGCACGACGTAAATCAGTAATCATAGTAATTAAGCATACGTTGAAAAGTACAAATATAATCATCTATTATTACCGAAATAGAAATTACATTGACAATGACTATTGCTAAATTGTGACACATTCCTAACAATCTGCCATTTACAAATGTATAATATAAATAACGGAGAGTCTTCTGAGCGAACACTTCCGACCTGCTAAATAACCTGAGAAAACATGGATTAAATACGTTAACAAAATTGTTGGTGAGTTCTACAGGTTTTGACACAAAGTGTCTTTATGATCAAAAGTGTTTTATAAAATTTAGTTGGTTGACCAACTTTAATAAATATTTACTTTTCTATTAAAAGTTAAAATAATTGAGTTATAAAAATCCAGACGATTAGGGATAACATTAAGGTTGCTCAAGATCGGCACTAAAGTTATGCAGATAAGCGAAAAAAAAAGCCAATAGTGTTTCAGGTTGGTGATAAAGTTATGTTAAAAGTGTCCCCATGAAAGGGCGTTGTGCGTTTTGGTAAGCGATAGTCCCCGTTATGTTGGACCCTTCATAATTAAGGAACGGATTGGAGAGGTGGTCTATCGATTGGAGCTACCAAGGGAAATGGATGAAATTCATAACACACTCCATGTCTCTAATTTAAAAAAGTGTATAGTGGACGACGCCATTGAAGTTCCACTTCAAAAAATTAAGGTTGATGAGAAGCTACGATATACGGAAGAACTTGTCGCAATTATAGATCGAAAGGTCAGAAAGTTAAGGAATGTGTAGATACCACTTGTGAAAGTTCAGTGGAAGTATCATAAAGGTTCAGATGCGACAT